AAGTTTTTTTTTTTTTTTGCGTGTAGTTTTGTGTGAAGGGTAGGTTTAGGTGTAGGGTTAGGGTAAGGGGATAGAAAATACAGTTTGTACAGTAGAAAAACACTGCCTATGGAGAGTCCCCATAAAACATGAAAACCCAACATATGTGTGTGTGTGTGTGTGTGTGATGGAGACTGCAGCAGAACAGGGCACTTGTAATAACAGCAGTTTGACACAGTGCATTGTGGGAACAGAGGAATGACATCATTTTCAGGTTTAACTCTTTCCCCACCACTGACTGAATTTTCTAGCTTTCTGTGTTTTTTACGGTAGGAGGCGCTATTATACATCATCTGAAAGAGTATTGAACGTCTGGATCAAAACGCATGTGAAGAAGCAGAAACAAGCGATCGTGTATGTAAGCAGATGCATATGTAAAATAGCGCGATCATCAAGCATTAAACAGCATATAAATCAAAACTGCCTAACCTTACCAAATGAAATGTCAACCCAGGAAGTGGTATAGGACCATGCAAGCTTTGGATGTGTTGACAGAAGCTATCCATTTCATCTATGTTTTGATCAGCGTTCTGAATCTGATCCAGATGTAGTCTTTTACAAAAACACAATTTTCTCAGCTGTTCAAAATGTTCCTTTTTTCATGAAACTTACCCACATTCAAGTGTTGATAAAAAGCTTAAGATCTCTGAGTGGGTCCCCGAGATGCAGGGTTGAGCTCTCTCCCCAATGGTTAGGGTAAATAAGTAGAGCTTAAGCTCCACTGTAGTTTCCTTAGGGCAAGGATGTCCAAACTCGGTCCTGGAGGGCCAATGTCCTGCTCCAACTTGCCTCAACACGCTTGCCTAGAAATTTCTAGTATGCCTAGTAAGACCTTGATTATCTTGTTCAGGTGTGTTTAATTGGGGTTGGAGCTAAACTTTGCAGGACACCAGCACTCCAGGAGCAGGATTGGACACCCAGGGGTTTGAGTTGAAACGGCAAGAAAGCCTTTTCTCTAGGCTCCTCGTAGCTTCATCCTTTTTTGGTGGTACTAGAG